TCCAAAATACAATTCTACCCAGAATTGATGTCACAATGTCACAGACCATCTACGAATACTACAAACAGTGGTCTGAATGGAAAATACAAGTCTGCCTCTGAAATACATAAAAGCAGAATGGAAAAGATAGAAGGGGACGCCACGGCCTGCGGACGTCTGCAGGACTACCTCGGGTCTCCGCTGGACTGAAGGCAACAACCTCTCTATGGTCCAAATACTCCAGTACCAGGATCTGCACACAGTACAAAATGTAGTATCAGCACAACCGACCCCATGTTCTAGTAAGTGTCGAGCCTAACCTCAGGGAAGTAGTGACGAGGCTAGGACAAGACTACCAAATAAACCTGTGCAGTTATATCATATACAGCAAAAATAACAAAGAAACTAGTAGTTAAAGATGGGAAGGGGGAAAATGCTACGGGGAATATCAAGTACTAATAGAATTTCAGTAGAGAAGCACAAAGAACACCAAAATCCAATTATGGGCAAGAATATGGAAAACAGTAACAAGCACACGGCATCACCCTCCGTGCTTTTACTCTCGTTCTCACCATAAGAATCAATAGATTCGGCACGGCTCACCCTTCGTGCTTTTACCTCAAATAATCATGTCCTTCGTGCATTATCACTCATATCATGGCACGACATCACCCTTCGTGCTTTTATATTCACAATATCGGCACGGCATCACCCTTTTTGCATTAACACTCACTCACAAATATTACGCACGGCATCACCCTTCGTGCTTTCCACTCTTCCTTACCCAAGCAACAATCACAAAGCAGTTCGGGCAAGGGAATCAATAAAATTACAATAGAATCCCGGCAAGGGAACAATAGTATAACAAAAATATCCTGGCAAGGGAAAACAATATCATAAACCTCTCCTCATTTCCACAATAACTTCACAACATAAATCTCAACTTGATCCAATGCTCTACAATGTTCAATTACCAAGAATACTTCCATAAGCCTCGTTTCAATTGATAATCATCATATTAAGCATGGACAATACATATCGGAGTCACAATAATCATAGTATAAGACTCACGGGCATGCTTGACACCAACGTATAGGTACTTATCACCATACCTATACGTCGTACTCAACAATTAACACATAGCAAATAAGACTACAACTCCTATTCTCTCAAGCTAAGGTTAGACCAAACACTTACCTCAATGCCACGAACACAATCAAGCCTCAACTACTGCTTTACCTCTTGATTCCACCACCAATTCGCTTGTATCTAGTCATAATTTACTTAATAATATTAATAATTGCTAAGTAGACCAATTCCAATGCATGAAAATAGATTTTTCATTGTTTTCCCCAAAAAGTCAAAAATCGACCCCCGGCCCGCTTCGTCCAAACCCGAAATTCGGGCCAAAACCCAATTACCCATTTATCCCCGAGCCCGGATATACAATTAATCTGACCTCAATTTGAGGTCTAAATCCCCAAATTTCGATATTTCTAAGTTCTACAAAAAATTCTCAATTCCACTATGAAAACCCTAGATTCAAGGATAAAATCTTATAAAACGAAGTTAAGAAGTGAATGAAATGAGTTCAAAATCACTTACTTGTGTTTTGGGAAAGAAAGAGTGTTTGAAAAATCCCCTCTTATGTTTTAGGGTTTTGAAAAATGAAAAATGGCTGAAAAATCTCGTTTATATATACCTCTCTCAAACCCTTACCGTTGACCGCAGAAAAAAGGTCCGCGGCCGCGGAGCTCCACTACGGACCGCGAAATATCGAGCGTGACTGCGAAGATATGACCTTGCCCACCGCTGACCACGAAAACCCTACCGCGGTCGCAAAGATTCACCGCAGACCGCGAAGCTTATTTTAGAGACCTACAACTTCTCTGAACCTGCAACAGTTATCTTCTAAGTCTAAATTCACTCCGTGGCCTATCCAAAATTCACCCGAGCCCACGGGGCTCTAAGCCAATCATGCACGAAAGTCTAAAAATATCATACGGACTTGCTCATGCAATCAAATTATCAAACTAACATTAACAACTATGAATTCAACCTCAAATTCATACAATTAATCAAGAACATTGAAATTTCTATTTTCTCTCAACTATAGGTCTGTTTTATACCAAACCACTTCCGATTCTTACCAAATTCTACAGATTCAACCAAATTATTATTTTAAACTTGTACCAGGCTCTAAAATCAAGATACGGGCCCGATACCATCAAGAAATTGCATCAATTCACTTCTAAAAGCCTTTATATTTTTCCAGCAAACAATTTTCTTTAAAAATTCTTTTCTCGGGCTTGGGACTTCGGAATTCGATTCTGGGCATACGCCCAAGTCCCATATTTTACTACGGACTCTACGGGACCGTCGAATCACGGGTCCGGGGTCTCTTTTTTCAAGGATGTTGACCAAAGTACACTTTAATCAATTTTTAAAGGCCAATTTCATAAATTTTCTTATATTTCACATAAAAGCTTTTCAGAAACGCGCCCGGACTGTGCATGCAAATCGAGGTGAGACAAAAAAAGAGGGTTTTAAGGCCTCGGGACATAGAATTTACTTTCAAAACGAGTGATAAGAGACTTGAGGTATAGTTGCATGGCGTCCACATCCCTGAAGTCCCCTTCTATTCTATCATTACTATTTAATTTAGCTTAAAAATAATTGTATTTTGTTTAGACTTTATCTGTAGCACTCTAGATGCTCATGTATTCGTGACTCCAGATTTTCGGATATGTTTATATTACGTTATTTAGTATTATATCACTCTATTTCAGACTTTTACGGTTATCATTAATAGCATTTGGATATGAGTTATTAAAAATGATTAAGTTATTTAGCTAACGGAAAAGGATCAAATATACCCCTTTACTATCAAAAAATATTTAAATGTACCCCTCGTTATACTTTGAGTCCATATATACCCTTATCTCTATACTATTGGTTCAGATATACCCTTTTTCCGTTAAGTTTGTCCAAAGTGGAGATTCAATCTTATGTGGCACTGATATTTGATGAGGTGTATGTCACATGGCTTGCCATCTCAGCGCCCCTAACCCATTTTACCCCTCCCTTCTATTTTTTTTACCACTAAAACTTTCTTCCCCTCCACTACTATTCCCACCATTACCGCTACTATAAAAAAAATATTGTATTTCAAATTTTAGTCTTATACATGGATTAGGGGCGCTGAGGTGACATGTCATGTGGCGTCCACTTCATCAAATATTAGTGCCACGTAGGATTGGATGTCCACCTTGGACAAACTTAACAAAAAAAAGGGTATATTTGAATCGATAGTATTACGGCAGGAATATATTTGGACCCAAAGTATAACGAAGAATATATTTAAACTTTTTCTCATAGTACATTGGTATATTTGGTCCTTTGCCGTTTAGTTAATGTTGGCTTGTCTAGCAAGTGAAATGTTAGGCGACATCACGGTCCCGATGGTGGGATTTCAGATATAAACATTAAGTATTCTTCACTTTTTTTCTCCTACTAATAATATATTTTTTGAGTTTAAGTTTATATATCGACGATGTAAAATTATTTATATAATTAAGTTAATTATAAGATAATTATAAGTAAATTTATATGACGAATATAATTAATATTTGGATAAAAATAAAATGTTATATGTTACCATACTTCTTCCATTTCAAAAAGAAAGGACGTATTACTATTTGGGGAGTCAAAAGATATTTTTTATCATGTTTCTGCAAATACTTTTTAAATATTTAAATTATTAACTTATAGTACATGTAATTTTTTTATAAAAGAATTATAAATTTTATATTTAATACATCAAAAGTTAGGTAATTTGACCTTCCTATTACAATTTTTTTTTTTTTGAAACGAAGGAAGTGAATTAGTGGAGTACTGTAAAAGATCATTATTTTGATTTTAATTTTGCCCACCCACTTTACCTTTCTCTTGCTGGTTATGTCATATCAGAGAATGACAGGGCAGAAGACCAAAACGACATATCTCACATGGGACGGAATCCTAGGCATATGTATGATATTCTACTTTAGGATACTCCCTTTGTTCTTCATCTTCTTGGATTTTTACAATTATTTCTATACCATATGTAGCAAATTTCCTGGACAAATCTTGTGCTTCTTCCACTCCAATATGAACACATTAGCTCCAAGAAAGTTTTATATTTTCCCTCCATCAATATTGTTTATGTTTTTCATTCTATTATGGTATTTGATTGAGCAATAGTGTTAAAGAATTATGGCACCTACTAAAAATACAAACCCATTATACGCACTTACTTAACCAATAGTTAAGTTATATGTTCTCAATTGAAAGTTAACTTGCTTGGTTTGATATAAATTTTGAGTGAGTGCTAGTAAGTATTTATTGAACTGAATTTGTACTCTTAAACATGCTATGATATTTTTATGGTTATAAAAGCATGTCATTACAACAACAACAAGCCCAGTATAATTTCATATAGTGGGGTATGGGGAGGTAGTGTGTATGCAGCCTTATATCTACCTGTTGAGATAGAGAAATTGTTTACAATAAACTATCAGCTCAAGGAAGCGATTTGGGCACTCTAATTTCTTCAAAGTAACGCGCCGAGGCACGACCCGACCAATTAACGCTAGGAGCGCATCGCTGGCAGAAGGAACGAGACGATCAGTGCACACCTAGGGCGGACCGCCGGCCCATCCCAAATATTGTTCAAATATTAAAATGATGTACAGTGAGAGACGGATCCAGACTTTGAAGTTTATGGGTTCTTATAATGATCTCAAGTTAGCAATCGAGTTCACAATTAAATATTTATAAATATTTAATAAATTTTTTAATATATGTACAAGGACTGTGCAAAATCTACTAGGTTCCCGGGAACCCGCACATTGCCCTTTAGANTATTTGATTGCAAGTATACATATGTATCTTAAAGGGGAAAAAATGTGATATTATTGGAAGTAATAGGAAGTAGCAGTTGCAGTCTGAGATTATTGATACAGTTTCATTCACTCACACTGCTCATTTCTCGTGACACTGTCAGTTTGAGTTGAGTACTCAAATAGTCATATCACTTGCAATAGATTCTCTCTCTCTCTATTTTTCTCTTTTCAGAAACTCCCAACACACTTTCTTTCTATAGGGAGGGATTAGGACACTAGGAAAAACACAACACCTGGCCCATGTACACCAGTTGCCTAAATCAATGTTGTTTTGTACCCCTTTTCCCTTTTTCATCATCTTCCTATTTTTTGTCCTTAAAACTCTATCTTTTCTTTTTCCCTTCTCTGCTACCTTAATCTAATCAGCAACTTATTTCTTCTTCTGGTACTTCTGTTTGTTTTTTCTTTTCCACATTTTTCTCCACATGGGGTTCATTCACTTCTTTGTTGCTACATTTTCTTTCTGAATATTAAAGCTTACACCTTTATTGTTCTGTTCCATTTCACGATTCCTGAAATGGCTCACTTCCTGAGTGTTTCAAGTTTGAATCTTTCTTTTTCTTTTTAACCCTTTCTTGTCTCTCCTAATTGAGTCTCAAAAAGACTTCCCTTTTATGATTGGGTTCTAGCATTTTCTTCCTAATGGATTCTTGATTGTTCCATTTTTTGGGGGGAAGAAGAGTGTTTTCTTGATAAACAACCCAAAAATGGAAACTTTGAGGTTGTTCACTGCTTTGTTAGTTGGTTTATTGTTAGGTTGTCAACTTGGTAATTCCCAGGTTCTTCTTGAAAAGGCAATTGTAGAGGCAATTGGTAAAGAGCTAGAAATATCTGTGTGGGATCTGAACACCTCTAATTTCTGCTCTTGGCATGGCATTAGTTGCAGTTCAAACAATTCTATGGTGGAAAGGCTGAATCTTTCTAGTTTTCGGTTACAAGGTAATGTGACTCTAATATCTGAGCTTAAAGCATTGAAGTGGTTGGACCTTTCTAACAACAATTTCCATGGCTTAATTCCATCAGCATTTGGGAATTTGTCTCAACTTCAGTTTCTTGATTTGTCTTTTAATATGTTTGGAAACTCTATTCCTGGAGAATTTGGTAGGCTCAACAACCTTAAAGCATTGAACCTTTCAAACAACTTGCTCACTGGTTCAATACCTGATGAGCTTCAAGGGTTAGAGAATTTGCAATATTTCCAAATATTTACTAACAAATTGAATGGTTCTATTCCAATGTGGATTGGGAATTTGACCAACCTTAGAGTGTTTGCTGCTTATGAGAACGAGTTTAGTGGTGATATTCCAGTTAATTTAGGCTTACACTCAGAGCTCTTGTTGTTGAATCTTCATTCAAATCTGCTTCAAGGGACAATTCCCGAGAGTATTTTCGCTATGGAGAAGCTTGAATTTCTGATCCTGACTAATAATAAATTGACTGGCATTATTCCTGACTCAATTGGGAATTGCAAAGGCCTTTCAAACATTAGAATTGGGAATAACAAGCTCATAGGTGGCATCCCTAAAGCAATTGGAAATATCACTAGTCTTACTTATTTTGAAGCAGATAATAACACTCTTTCTGGAGAGATTGTCTCAGAATTCGCGCACTGTGCTAATCTCACTCTTCTTAATTTAGCTTCAAATGGATTTTCTGGTACTATTCCTCCTGAGTTTGGCCAGCTCAACAATCTGCAGGAGTTGATTGTTTCTGGAAATAATTTGTTTGGAGAGATTCCAACATCAGTTCTTAGGTGCAAGAATCTCAACAAGCTTGACTTAAGTAACAACAAATTCAATGGAACCATACCGGGAGATATATGCAACACATCCAAGTTACAGTTCTTGCTGCTGGGACAGAACTCATTGAAAGGGGAAATACCTCGCGAGATTGGGAATTGCATAAAATTGCTTGAGTTGCAAATGGGGAGTAATTATCTTACTGGAATCATCCCTACTGAGATTGGTCATATGAAGAACTTACAAATCTCATTGAATTTGAGTCATAATCATCTCCGCGGCCTGTTGCCCAAGGATCTTGGAAAACTTGACAAGTTGGTTTCTTTAGATGTGTCTAATAATCAGCTCTCAGGGAATATTCCATTGGAGTTGAAGGGCATGCTGAGTTTGATAGAGGTTAACTTTTCAAACAATCAATTCACAGGCCCTATACCCACTTTTGCACCATTTGAGAAGAGCCTAAATTCAAGCTTTCTTGGAAACAAAGGGCTCTGTGGTGAGCCTTTGAGTAGTGATTGTGGAAATATATATGGTTATGAGCACAATGGTTACCATCACCGAGTTTCCTACCGGCTCATTTTGGCTGTTGTTGGTTCTGGTTTTGCAGTTTTTGTATCCGTTACGGTGGTTGTTTTACTATTCATGATGAGGGAGAAACAAGAGGAAACCACCAAGGAAGCTGGAAATACCACTGATGAAATTTGTAGCAAACCGGTGATCGTTGCGGGGAATGTTTTCGTTGAGAATCTCAAGCAAGCAATAGATTTTGATGCAGTTGTAAAAGCAGTCAGGAAAGATTCAAATAAGATTAGCACGGGCACTTTCAGCGATGTGTATAGAGCAGACATGCCTTCTGGGATGATTTTGTCTGTTAAGAGTTTAAAGTCAATGGACAAAACTATAATTCATCACCAGAACAAAATGATCAGAGAGCTTGAAAAGCTAAGTAAACTCTGTCATGATAATCTAACTAGGCCTATCGGGTTTGCAATCTATGAAGACGTCGTTCTACTCTTACATCAATACTATGCCAATGGGACGCTGGCTCAGTTTCTTCACGAGTCTAGCCAGAGACCTGAATATGAACCTGACTGGCCGACGAGACTTTCCATCGCCATTGGAGTTGCAGAAGGGTTAGCGTTCCTTCATCACGTGGCCATAATCCATCTTGATATTTCTTCAGGGAATGTGTTTCTTGATTCTAATTTCAGGCCTTTGGTTGGTGAAGTTGAAATATCCCGACTTCTTGATCCGTCTAGAGGGACTGCAAGTATCAGTGCTGTTGCTGGCTCATTTGGATACATTCCTCCAGGTATTCTATGGCTCGAAAGACTAGTTAAGATTTTTATTTTTTTTATTTTTCTGGAAGTTATACTTATGGTGTCTGACTAATTCCTTTTCTTCAACAGAGTATGCATATACCATGCAAGTAACAGCTCCCGGAAATGTCTATAGCTATGGGGTTATTTTGCTCGAGATCCTTACCTCTCGATTACCTGTTGATGAAGCTTTTGGTGAAGGAGTTGATTTGGTCAGGTGGGTTCACGGTGCATCTGCAAGAGGAGAAACACCAGAGCAGATACTCGACGCAAGGCTGAGCACCAATTCTTTTGCTTGGAGGAAAGAAATGCTTGCAGCTCTAAAGGTAGCATTAATGTGCACCGACACCACTCCAGCAAAACGACCAAGAATGAAGAAGGTGGCAGAGATGCTTCAAGAGGTTACACAAAGTTGAATCAAACTTGTATCATCCAAAAGTTTGTTTAATCTCAGACCTTCAGATCAGGAATGAAATTCACTATTCTTTGCCTACAGGACAAAATAGTTAAAACTCTGTATATTGGCTGGGGTTACCACTGTAATTTTGATATGACATCAAAGAGAACAAGGAGAGTTTAGATGGGGAGGGTAAAAGCCAGAAGCAGTCCTTGATATGGTTGTGATATGTACCATTTTGTACTAGGCCTCTAATCATATAGAGTTCTTTTTCTGCAGCATATGTAAATGGAGGTTTGGCATATCAATTTTTGTTTGCAATTAGCTTAAGATATGTCTTTTTGTTTTCATTTCCTGGTTCTTTAGGGACAAGATAGACATAGATGCTACATCTCGGTTTCGATAAAGTGGAAGTTTAATTGTGCTTTGCTTCCCTTTAATTAGGAGAGGCAACACCTTTGGACTAGGGAACATATTGAAGATCCTGCTGCTGCTGTATATCGAATAGGAGCATGCAACGATCCGACCGGTCATTTTAAGAATTAACGCTCCGATCCCTTATTAATTGTTTTCCCCGTGTTTGTTTCTGCTATTGTGAGTTGACAGGAGGATTTATTTGGAGTTCCGGAGAGTTTTGGGACACTTAGTCCCTAAATGAGAGTTTAAGTTTTAGAATTTGAACCGTAGTCGGAGCAGTGTGAAGACGGCCTCAGAATGGAATTAAGTTGGCTCCGTTAGCTCCGTTGGGTGATTTCGGGCTTAGGGGCGTGTTTGGATTGCATTTTGGAGGCCTGTAGCTTATTTAAGCTTTAAATGCCGAAAGTTGAATTTTTGAAGTTTCCGGTTCGATAGTAAGATTTTGATCTAAGGGTCAGAATGGAATTCCGGAAGTTGGAGTAGCTCCGCAGTGTTGAATGTGATGTGTGTGCAAAATTTCAGGTCATTCGGACGAAGGTTGATAGACTTTTTGATCGAAAGCGTAATTTGAGAGTTTTTTGGGGTTCTTAGACTTGAATCCGATGTTAAATCGGTGTTTTGATGTTGTTTTGAGCTTTCCGAAGGTTGGAACAAGTTCGTATGATGTTTTAGGATTGGTTGACAGGTTTAGTTGAGGTCCTGGGGGCCTCGGGTGAGTTTCGGGTGCTTAACAAAAATTGATTTTTGGACTTAGGCAAAATCTAATTGCTAAACCTGTCATAACCGCACCTCTGTGTGTGGGACCGCAGGTGCGGCGCCGCAGAAGCGGAATTGGGTCCAGACTCCAGAAGTTGCAGGTGCAAGACGTGGAACGCACCTGCGAGACCACAGGTGCGGAAAGGCAGTTGCAGAAGCGAAAAGTCCCCGTTTAATGAAAAGTCGCAGGTATGACTTGGTCTTTGCAGAAGTGGGACCGCATGTGCGGTCCCAAAGCCATAGATGCGGTTTCACTGGTCAGAAAATGGGCAGAATGAGGGTTTAGTTTCAAAATCTTAGAAATTGATTTGGAAGCTCGGGATTGGCGATTTTGAGAGAGATTTTTACCTGGGGGTTTTGGGTAAGTAATTCTTACTCGGTTTTGACTAATTTTCACGAATCTATGCTTAAATTCATCCTTTAAATTCGAATTTGGGGTGAAAAATTGGAGAAAAGTTGAAAAAGTTCTTAGACTCTCACGAATCTAAAAAGTTGAGTAATTTCTGTATATATGAACTCGTGAGAATGTGAGGATTCCGAATTTGTAAATTTTATCCGATTCCGAGATGTGGGCCCGGGGGGCGTTTTGGTCAATTTTTCTAATTTCGCGTTTTAGCTTAGAATTAATTAGTGGAATCAGTTACTTGAAGTTAAATTTACATTATGAAATTGAATTGAATAGATTTGGGTCATTTAGAGTCGAGTACTCGTGGCAAGAGCGTGGTTACGGGTTGATTTTGAGCCGGCTCGAGGTATGTGGCTTCCCTAACCTTGTGTGGGGGAAACTCCCCTTAGGATTTGGTATTGTTGATATTTGAAATGCCTTGTACGTTAGGTGACGAGTGCATACTCGTGCTAATTGTTAAAAATCATGTTTTCATTAATTAACTTTAATTGTGTTTCCATTCCTATTTATACTACTCGCAATTTTAAGCCTACTATTAGCTTAGGGAAGCATGTCTAATTGACTTAATTGTTTTACTTGCTCAAACTGCCTTATTTGGATTCTGTGCAGCATGCTAGGCTAGAAATACCTGTTTTACCTTGGTATGAAATTTAAATTGAATTGAGTATTCTTCGTGTTGCTGCTGTGTGTTTACTTTGGGACTACGGGACGGTATCCCAGGAGATCTCATTGCATATTTACTTTGGGAATACGTATTTGTATTCCAGGAGATCCCCCTGCACTTTTATATTGGAACTACGGGACTGCACCTGGTAGATTTTCCCAGTACTGGATATTTACATTTGGGACTACGGATCGGTATTCCAAGAGATCCCCGTGCACTATGAGTTGGACTACGGGAAGGCACTTGGGAGATCCACTGGATATTTATAATTGGGACTACAGGACGGTATCCTGGGAGATCTCCGGTTGTTTCCTCTGTGTTGAGCTGTATTCTTTCTGTGCTTATTTTGCCTCTGTTGTAGTTGTTGTTGTTCTTACTATCCTGTGTTACTTACTATTCTTTGCACTTAATTGTATTGTCTTATTCTATACGGTTATACCTTGTTTTTCACCTAAACTCAGTAGGACCCTGACTTTCCTTGTCACTACCTGACCGAGGTTAGGTTTGGCACTTACTGAGTACTGCTGTGGTATACTCATGCCCTTTCTGCGCATGTTTTTCATATGCAGATCCAGGTACTTCAACTCATCCCTACTACCCTTGAGGCGAGGCAATTTCTCCAGAGACTTCGAGGTATATCTGTCGCGTCCTCAGACCGAGGAGTCCCTTTCCACTCTCCCTTAAAGTATTAGCCCTTCTGTATTTACCTTTGTTTAGGCATTCTGGAGTTAGACACTTGTAGTCATTCAAAAGCTTGTGATTTCATGATATTCCGGGTTTTGGAAAATGTTGTTTCAGTTCGAGAGTTTGTATTGTATATGCCGAGCGGCATCTCAAACGCTTTATTATGTTATTTCTGCAGTTTTGACTAGTTTTATTCTGTTGTTTTCTGTTTCTGCAATTTGTTAGGCTTACCTAGTCGTAGAGACTAGGTGCCGTCACGATACTTCAGGAGGGCGAACTGGGGTCGTGACAAAGCAGGTGGAGGGCGGGTATGGGATTTGTGTAGGGGTGCCCGGGGAATTGAAGGAGGAATAGATTGACCACTAGATTTACCACTCTTGGATTTTCCCTAAAAAAAAAATTTTAACGAAAAATCCATCTTAATTAATCAAACAATACGAAAGTAAATAAAACAAAACAAAACTATAATATTAAAACTTAAGAGTTGGAACGAGTTTACCGAATTGACGAACAACTTGTTGAAAATTAATTATTGTTGAAGACTTGAATACTTCAATTTACCAACTTCACAATTTTTCATACAAATTGCAACAATAAAATAACCAATCATAGAAGAAAATTAGAGAGAGATTGATGATTTTGTGAGAAAAATGAAAGAATGAGGGGGTATT